AGACCTTGCCTTGGCAAATGACGCTTTTGAAGGACCTGGAGGCGGAGTTAAACTTCTTTTTAAGTGCGCTGGTGTTTACATCCCGAGACGTTGATGCGTCAGCCCAGGCCCGGTAGCACTCCTGCTTATAGCGTGATGCTATTTTACAGGAGCGACCAAACCATGGCTGGGATCTGCCACCGATGGGTACCACAGAGGATGGAATAAAAAGTTTCATACCCTGAAGTACCACATCAGCAACAGAATCGGCAACAACGCTGGGATCTTCCGGCGAGAAGCAAACCCACCCCCAAGGGTAGGATGCAAAAAAAGACCGCATCCCGTCCCAATCAGCTGACCTATAGTGCCAAACACGGCGGCAAGCTGCAGATCACAACTGCGATTGGAGTGTGAGTGGCACCGTACTCCGGATCAGACAATGGTCCGAAGAGCCCAGAGGGGCATCGATGGAGACCTGATATCCGTCCGGATGAGAGGTCAGCAGAAGGTCCAACAGGGAAGGTACATGGTCTTCCACATCTGGGATCCGCGTAGGCGAAGTAACCAGTTGTGTTAGACCATATGCCAAAGCAAAGTTATAGACAGATCTACCCGCATGATCGGTTAAACGAGAACCAAGCCATTCAACGTAGTGGGCGTTAAAATCACCAAGTATCACGATCTCTGCGGATGGGACCTGTCTTTTCACACAAGTATTGTTTACAACTGGCGTGGTTTCGAAAAGCGTGATTAAGTGTCAGCGGTATATAATCAATTAAATACTGAACTTTTTTGAAATTTATTTTTGTTATATCTTCTTAAAAACTGACGCCATCTCACTATTTTATTATTGTTTTTTTTTTTTGAAACGCATAAGGATAAGTTAGACTAACTTGGATAAGTTTGTAATTTTTTTAATTATATCACAAAATTTCCGCAATAAATTATTACCTTTTCTACAGTGATTTTCTCTTAGTTTCGGCGTGACTGTAGGATGTTATACTGAGTCACCGTTAGTTACTAAGCGGCCATAAATCATTATATGTATGTATAGACATACATATATACATTTTTTGATTTTAATATTTATGTTTTTTTGAATTTTGGTTAATTTTTTGAAACCTGGTAAAATTATTTTTTTTTCATACCAATTGATGGGCCTGAGTATAATGCCAGTTATGCTCTTTGGCTGAAGTTATTTTTTATTTTATGCTCAATAGCAGACAAAGCAATATTGATTGCGCATTTTTAAACATAATTTTACCTCTTCTCCTTCTAATATTAGCTCCTGCACCTAACACGGCGGAATAGTTATTATTATCTATAAGACCATTTGCAGAAACAGTTTTTGTTAACAGTTATGAGTGTAACATTTTATCAGCTGCTTTGTTTATAGTGCCTTGAGCAACACTTTGCCGGGTTCTGTACAGAAAACGATGCTGGCTTTGCAAATATGGATGGCCGCTACCATTGAATATAATACCCGCTATGTTACACTTATTAACATAGAAACTTTAATTATCATTTGCATAAAATTCTAAATAGCACTTTTTACACAAAAGTAAACTTTTAAAGAAAGTAAACTTTTAGATCAGTTCATCTTGTTTTTCACTAATCAAGTGAAAAGTAAAACAAACCAATAGGTCCGTGATTTAAAATTTCTTGCAACTTTTTATACAAAAGCATGACCTTATCATAATATAATAGTCAATCATACTGAAGATTATCAATTGTACTACAAAATATTTAAAAGACTATTTTTTAATTGATTGATATATTGAGTGTATATGAAAATTATTATTGCAGATAAAAGCCCTTTCACATTTATTTTAGTCTCGAATTGAATTAATCAAAATGAAAATAAGAACTTTGGCTCTTTATAACTTATCTTTAAATGTAAAACACTGACTTGAGATTATATAATTATCGGCATTTTTTTTTAATTCATTGAACTTTTTTAAGATTGTGTTGAAACTCTACTCGTAAAAAAAAACATATATATTATAGTTCTTGATGAAAATAAAGTATGCGCGTTACATCGCATCCCATCAAGAATTTCTAATGTAATTCTTGGTGTAAAGCTAAGACGTGATAATAACTGTAAACAATAGAATAACAAAATAATGAAAATATTTGTAAATACTTGCTTTATAACCTAAACCTAAATAACCTAAATATTATTTGACCGTAATAAAATAAAACAAGGTAGTCTTCGGCATGAAAGTAAAAATAAATATTTTCGATTATTTTTGCAATATCTAACAGCCGGATCAGCGCGCGATTCTGATCCATTTAAAGATGCTAAATTTCAGCAAGCACTGTCAAATTCAATAGGAATGACAGAAAAACGGTTCTTGATATAGTAAGGTAAATAAATTATTTAACCTATAAAGTAAAATCTCTTTATTAAAAATCAAAATAGCCCAATAGCTTTATTAACATGAGACACATAATTGTACGAGTGCTTATAATACTTAACATTATTTTACTGAAATCTCAGAAAGTTTTTTTTTTTATAGAATAAGGGTGACAAACGAGCACACAGTCCACCTGATGGTAAGTGGTTGCTACGACCCATAGACATCTACATCTCTTCTCGATTACGTATCAAAATGTAGATGCGTTGTCACCCGTGAGGACTAAATTGTAATGCCTCGTTTCCATTAAAAAGGTTCTCCGGTTCTCTACACTCACCATACAAAACACAGCAGGGTTAAACTGCTATTTTACATGGTATTCTGTGAGAGCGTGGCCCTTCTCCGGTCGAGCCAACCCATTCGTCCTACAACTATACCTACTACTAATATAGCTGCAGCATGGTTCTACCACGTAAGAAAAAATTGACGTTGAAAATTTAAGTATTTTCAGAAGCAACTTTGCAATTATTTTCTATTGAGTGAATTTTTGTGGAATCTTGTTTTGCAAACCGCCACCTGAAATACGTACATTTTTTTTCGATAACGACGTGAAATTACAAAACGATCCCCATGCATATCAATGTGGCTCTATTCAGCCTCTTAATATGAACATACCTCGGGATTCAGAGATTTTAAAAGTTTTCATGCGTAGATAATGGAAGATAAAATATTATATTATTACTGTCCCGTGTGAGGCAACCTTTATACTTATATATATATTCTCATCATATTTTTATGGTTGGTTAGAAAAATTATATCTAAATACCAATTTTCACAGGGTAATTTTTTTTTTACTATTTTTACCCAGCAATTAGTAAAGCAACTACAATCCCATCGTTAAGTGGTTATGTAGCCTAAGATGGTGAATTGCACTGACTTAACAAAAACCTATTCACTCTTGCCTAATAGTACTAGGTAAGTATTATTTGCGACCTATGTGTGTGTGTGTGTGTGTATGTATGTGTGAAGAAAAGCGTACGAGAATACGTGAAGAGGAATAAAGGTTGAGTACTACTTCGCTTACCTGTACGAGGTTGCCACTCGAGAACCTTTCTTCTTATTTTTTATCTGTTTTCCAAGTTATATAGCCAGCCCATTGCCATTTCACTGTAATATTCCGTTGGGCTATGTCAGTTACTCTGGTTCTACTACGAATATCTTCATTTCTAACTTTATCACGTAGAGAAACCCCTCTCCAATTTAAAATTTTTACACTTTTTAGATGATAGTTTGTCTAACATAAAAAAAACCATAAACCCAAGAATGTCTCTATAGTTATTTATACTTAGGGAAGCACAATTATTTTTATTTATTTAAATTGTTTGATTTAATTTGATAACAGTGTACCTAAATGTAAGTATCTGTATCTATATTTCCCTCCCCAATAATATTTTATAAAGTCATACTCATAAAAACAGTGTTTTATTATAATACATAACTATAAAATTCAGTATCAACTAATTAATAAAAATATGCAACAATAAAATTACATAGGTATTAAAAACTATCGAAATCTAAGTAACTAGAGCATGTTCGTCGTTCCACATCTAAATTATATAAAAATGCATTTTTAATTTCACTAATCACCGTCGCCGCGAAAATTTCTTCTTCTTTGGGCACTTAAAAATTAATTTATTTAGAAAATAATATTTACAGTTACCAGCGTACAGATATTAACTAAATTAAATGTTTCTAGTCATAAAAATATTTATAATTGAGTATAAACTTTTAAAAAACTACTATATAAATGAACGAAGTCGCTCCAACAACGACGCGAGGTCCACTCTCGACGATGTCCGAAAATGGACAGGGCGACGGAGCATGCGCGCTCGCGTAAATATATTCAATTTCAGGGAAAAATTATATATTCTCTTATAAAACGGGGAATAAAAATAAAACTCTCAATTAAAAATATTAATATTTTTAAGACCTTTTTTTTAGTGTAAGAACTATTTAAAAGCTTGTGCCGTTTTGGAGAAATTTTGCAAAATATGACAAAGATAGGTACTCTTTGGGGATTTTTTTTCTAATAAGGGGTAGACAAAAATACAATTTTGTTCAATTAAAAACATTTACCAAATCCTCTTCGGTTACCCTGTATTTTTTCTTTGTGGATTAAATGAACAGTTATTGAGATTTTTTTACTTAAATATCCAAGATTTAGGCATTTCAACCACTTTTAAAGTCTTAAGATTCGCATATTGTAGGTACCGTTTATGTGGTTGGCATGTTTAGTCCAATAAATCTGACAGCATGGAGTATATTGAGCATAGAGCATAGTATATTGGTATACAAATGATTGTTATTATTATTAATTAATATTGTTATTCAAATAAACTCGGACATTAAGTTTTAAAAGCAACAACATTCAAATAATAGTTTTTCTTGTTGAACAGAAAACGTGTACATGATGAATATTTTCATTTGAAAATTGTGTCGAAAAATGGGGATGACAGTATACTCGACTGCGCTCCGTTTTAAACAGTAACCAGTATAGCAAACTAAAAAGGAGCGGCTTCACAGTATACTGAATTGACGTCACACCCTATAGTGGTCACAGTGTATAATCGGAACAGCCCTTATTGAAGTGTAATTGTATTGTAGCAGGTGAGCTACGTGGGCTACACGCCGCCGCCGCGCAACGCATACGGCGGGCGCGGGTGGCGCGGCGCGCGCGGGCGCGGGCGCGGGGCCGCCGCCGCCCCCCGCGCGCCCCGCACGCGCCCCGCGCGCCGCCCGCGCCGCGACCACGACGAGCCCGCCAAGCCCGCCACGCTCACCGTCAACGGGTAAACAAACCCACACTCTCTACACTTACACGCTGCTGCTTTTTAAACTGAAAACTTCTTTAGGATCGGTGTGATTTTCAAATTCAATGAAACTAAAAAGCGACACTAAAGAAAGAAACATGCAGCTATAGAATTTAGCCTGCGAGAAAATCGAGATAGAATGCAGTAGAGCTACGCTGCAGCTATATTACGGTTATAGCACGAATGGGTCGGCTCGGCTGGAGAAGGACCACATTCTCACAAAATAGCAGCTTAATATTGCTGTTTCGTATGGTGAGTGTAAAGAACTGGGGACCCGTTTTACTGAAAACGAGGCATTCTGTCTTAGTTCTCAGGGGTAACAACACATCTGCATTTTAATTCCTAATTGAAGATAAATGAAGATGTATATGGATTATGTTCCCGTTTGTCACCGTTATTCTATAAAAAATAGTGTTTCCCTAATAACTCCTCTTTGTGCGGTGTGTTAAAGTGATAGCGTCAGGGTAACCCGCGAAATTCAAATTTTCTTACGTTTTTTGCAATTTGTAGATCAGTGTCAGGTTGTATGTTTAACAAAATATGATTCGCGACCGTGGCGAGTATGTATTTATAAAATTATAATCATTATAATCATCATTACAACCCTCTAAGTTTGTATAATCCCATTGTACTTATGGCTATTTACAGAAAAACTCATTCAAATGGAGTTTAAAAAAAAAATTTCGCGGGCCACCCTGTAGCTTTCACCTTAAAGATAGTTAATATAATTTTTAACTGTTAAAATAAACAGTTAAAAAATTAACAAATTAAATAAATAAATAAATTTTAATGAATAAAAATTATCATAACAATCCACGATTCCATAACTTAACGATTTATATTAAATTAGTTGTGTCTAGGGCATCTAGAACAATGAACTGAAGAAGCAAATTCATTCTTCACTTAAAATTATAAAAAGTAAGCAGACAATATATCCTGTTATTTACTGGTACCTGCTGATGGTATTCTAAATCAGATTCTTAAAATGAAAATTAAACTTTGATTATAGAAAAACTGTGCGACCAGAAGATTTAAGTATTCAGGGTGATGATGGCAGTCCTCATGAAGACAATGCTATGCCAGAAAATGAAGCTGAAGGTTAGTTTAATGTCATCCAAGACTTATGTCACTTCACTGTATGAAAATTGATGACTTTACTATTTTGCCTTTACAGGTTCTCAACCTCAGAAAAGCAAATCTGGTAAAAATGTAAAAAAAAGTGTTGGAAAAGGGAAAAAGAAGGGCCCAAACCAGAAGACTGACGTAGCCCAATCACTAGAGGCAAATGGGCCTCTTGATAAGAACAAGGTGACTGCAAAATAAAATGCAACTAGATGACTACATAACATTCTGAATTTACTGTTTCCTAATTTTTAAATATACATGCATTTTATATGATATTCAATGTACTATAAGAGTTTGCGGTAGATTAGCGCTGTTATTTGTAAAAATTTATAAAAATATTACTTAATAATAGTCAAGTGGCAATACTGAGTTAGGTGCCCAATCATCCCTGATTTCGCCGGACGTCTGTGAAATAAAAATTAAAATCCTGCATTTTGATAAGTAGCAAAATCGATCTAACAAGAAGTTTTATACACTTAGATTTATTTACAAATGCTACCCTGCAATATTCCGCGTTTGTTACATTGATGAGAATGCCGTTGATAAATTGACACATAAAGCTTAAGTGACATTCATAAATTTACTACCACCTTACTGCCACCGTATTAATGAGTTGTATGGTCATTGAATGCTATGAACAAATTTTTTATGAATAGATATTTACGCATAACACTGTTAATTTTCATAATAATTGTAATTAAATTTCCTTCAGTAATACATTAATGAATTCTAGGTGGTGGAGCTTAGCCATAACTCTGAAAAGGAGCACATTGGTCAAGGCGATGCGCCAGAGCCTAACTAAAAGTAATAAAATCCAAAGGTAAATCTTATCATATTGTTTTCTTTGTTTTTATTCTCACTGTCTTTTTTATTTTCTACAATAAACAGTTGTTGTTTGCCTTTATTTTCTTGGATAGGAAAGCATTTACATGCATCTGTTTTTTTTTAACCTAGTGTAGCTAGTGTTTTAGTTAAGACATTTTAAACTTAAAAAATATGTTTTTATTCACTAGCTTAAATGGCAACATTCAAGTATAATAATGTAAAATATTTAAATAACTTAAATATCAGTACGTCGCCGACGTAAGATTGTATAAGCACGTAATGTATTTGTAAAGTTGCATAATAGTTCAATTATTTGTAAACAGAAATATAACAAAATCCAACCTGTGATTTTGTTGTTATCTGTAAAGTGACATACTGTAGACGTGCCTCAACACCTAAAAGACTTCCCGAAATTGAGACTGATTTTGTATATTAATTGAATTGTCACATCAAGTGTTCAATTAATAATAATAATGGAGACGAGTGACATTATTGAGTTGCATTGCTATGCCTCAATACCTAACAAGACAAGTTTCTTTAAATGCCGTGTTATGTTTTCCATAAGGATACTACTAGAAAGTTTCCTTTAAGAAACCAATAACATAGTATTAAAAAAAATACATTAATACTTGAGGTAGTACTATATCTATCTTTAAGAATGATAAAACCTCAACATCCACAACTTGACAAGTGATAATTAGAAAATATATATTTAATAAATTAACATGTTGATTGTTAAGTCACGTTTAATGGAAAAGTGAGATGACTTAGTAAATAATGTGTTAAGTTTATCATATGATGTACTGAGTCAGCATTATTTATTTACACATAGTATATTTACAATTTACCAAATCATTGTTTTATTCTAAGTTCGGTTTGGTCTATGGAATTTTAAAAATATATTATGAAAAGTGTAAGGCTGCACTGAAGTTGAAACATTCATTTTGCCATTGAGCCTTGCATGTTGGAAAGTCATTAATTGTTTTTGGATCTTGATTCCGTAGACTAAACCAACCATGTTCAGACTTGTTTTAAGGAAATCTTGATGTATGTTTAGGCTTTATTGAATGAGTGAGAAAATGTCTTTAAATGTGTCCTGTTATATGTACCACTACCACACAAATTAAAGATCTGACGAGAGCTCGTAAGTTATTTTCAATATTGTTTTTCAATATATAATATGAGCTTACTTTGCGTGGTAGTAACCTGGTTCAATATAAATGGTGGTCACTATTGTGACCGTTCTTGTACTTTTGAACTATTTTGGTAGATATATTTGGAATGGAGTGTTGTACCATATAGTGGTAGAATGGGTGAAAAATTTGTACAGAAATTGCATTTATTGAATGATGGTTGGTGCTTTTGAAAATAAATTCGTAGGACTGCTTGAAACGAGTCTGAAACTCATAGATTTAAGTCTAACGATAGACCTTTAATGAAACTGAAAGAACATTCACATGTTACAATTTCCACATCCTATAGGGTATTATTTCGATAGAAAACTTAGATATGTTAGTGATATATTTATATGCATTTTAGGAAATCCAATACTGTGAATGTTCTTCACTTTATATGTATTTTTGTAAATTTGTTATATTGTTATACTTAAATTTAGCTGGAATGACTAACAACATAATATTTGAGACAATGTCTTGCTCTGAAACTCAATTGATGGTAAGCTGTTGAAATCATCAGCATAATACAATACAGTTACATTCCATTTCAATTGCATAAACATTCTATTAATGAAATAACTAAACTGTCGACACCAGTGTAGAATGGAACAATGAAGACTTTACAATTTTGAATGCTTAAGCATTGCTTGGTTTAAACCCAGGCTGGTACAAAGACAAAATCTGTTGCCACAATAACATGATTTTGATAAACAAAACATGATCAAAACTTAACGAGCACACAAGTGAAACGGCCATCGCGCTGTTCGAAGTGATTGCCAAAATAAGTATATAAATCGTCATCTGCTTTCGTCACTTGACACCACGGAGCTAATTGTTGCAAGTGACTTGAGCCCGCACTTAGCGGACACTCTCATTGCTAATTTAGCCACTGTCGCTCAGCGACATTACTTATATAAAGTTTTATATAATATTGCTTGCTTATTAATAAACACGATATGTAGCGTTTAGAATTTTAACTTCAATGTATTTTGATTTGTTTAAGAATTATGTATAACAACAATAAAGCATGTTTAGAGGGTTTGGTAATATTTCATGGGATAATAATTTTATTAAAAGGTCAATGACTAAAAGGCAAGTTATGTACTGCAGCTGTTACTGCATAAAGTTAATATTGTAATGCCTTTTACGTTATTAACCGCATTTTATACTGCTATAATATATAAAAACACATTTTAAATAAAATGTTACGCATTAGTGGTGATTCCGAGATGGATGTAGACTTTTTTTTAAACTCATTCTATATAGTTTTAGATTATGCAACAGTATAATACATTTTAATCCATTTTATAAACTTGTTTGCTGACAACAGTCACTTAAATATTGTCAAAATAATATAAAAATATGTTAGAATACTTCTCATGTAATACATAACCTTTTTCGTAATTGAAGTAGCAACATGGAACTGTGGCTTTTTTGAAAACACTTATAACTTAAGTAATAACATGCAATGTGAAATTAAATAGAAAAATGTTCATTACTATTTTAGTTTTTGAACACAAAAAATATTGGATGAATTTTTAATTGTAAAGAGTTGTATTTGTCTTCAAATAAACGTTCCATCATTTCAATTTATTTTATTTATTCGAGATTTAATTCCTTATGTATTTTAGTGACAGATGTACCTTCAATATTGGCAATATGGTTGATAACAATCTGGGTGGCATCTTTTATGTCATTATATTGATGTAACAATCGCACCTTATATAATTTACCACTATCTTGAAGCAATTTATCAATCTTCAATTCTATTTCAAGAAGATGGTTAAATATAGCTTGATTATTTTTAGGCATCTGTAATAAAAAAAAATGATTTAAAAGAATTTATTTTGACAACTGTTCGAGAAATTACAACAAGACTGCTTTTGTGCGGCTTTACTTCGAATCATAAATTTATTAAAAATAGGTATTTTTTCCTATTACACTATTAACTAGCTTTTGCCGCCACGCCCGAGTGGAAGTCGGATAACGACATAATTTCGAAAAATCACAGCCAATTTAATGTTATTGCAAGACATAAGGTTACACAAAGAGGTGATTATAGTATTACACTTCTGATCTATCCCATAAGAAATGTTTATTTTTCAGGGTAAAAAATATGTACATTTCACTCCGAACAATTACTATCACTGCAAAATCATTTGGACTCGATGCCTCGTTGCGTGAAAGGACAGACCAACAAACAACTTTCGTATTTACATATATAAGTAGAAATATAAAAACTTTCATGGGGGGTATATTGCTGAAGTGGCAATGGGCCGGCCAGCTCGATGAACCGACAGCCGATGGGGGATTAAAGGTTCTCGAGTGGCGGCCTCGTACCGGCGGACGCAGTGTAGGGTGTCCCCCCACTAGATGGAGTGACGACCTGGTAAGATATGCAGGAAGTCGATGGATGCAGGTGGCTCAGGACCGTGCTTTGTGACGCATTCTTTGGGGGAGGCCTATGTTCAGCAGTGGACTTGTGAAGGGCTGTAATGATGAATGATGATGATAAAAAAAATAATATCGTCCAGACTGAATTTTCAGTCACGGTGGTTACTTGACGGAAACTAGACATATGCGTAGGATAGGATCATAGTGCCAGTGTATGTGCAAGCACAGGTGCATTTTCTATTCCCTCACTCATATTTCAATGGGATGACAAACCGACACGACCGGAGAGATCAAACGCAGGGTCAACGGTTTTACGTGCTCTGATGCTTATTGGGGCAACTATGTATTTAAATGAGCTAATGGAATTATGAGATTAATTATTTAAAAGAACCTATTATAGGACCGTTCTGTCATTTCTACAATGTCGAACTCCTAAAAATGTAAATTTGATAAACAAAAATATGCTAGGTATGTCTGGGGGCACGGCAGTGACCCCGCCAAGTCGAGCATATATTTATCCCCTAACCTAATATACACTGAAGTGATGAGTAAGTAAGTCTTTGATAACTTGCTAGCTGACGGATTCTTGGAAAAACCTATATAGGTATTATTAACGATTTCACTATTGAGTTTTTCTCTATATCTTCTTCGCATAAGGCATATTATCAATTGCTTAGGTAAGTAAATAATTTAAAATCAAAAATGTTGTACAACCGACTTCAATATGAATTATTAAGAATAACTCAAAAACTATTGGTCATACTTTGATCAAATTTATATGGGACCACATGTGAAGCACCAGCTTTCAAATAAAAAAAGAATCATCGAAATCGGTTCACCCAGTAAAAAGTTATGAGGTAACACACAAAAAAAACTGTCGAACTGAGTACCGGCTCCTTTTTGAAGTCAGTAGAAAACAAAGCTGCCGTTAAGCATCGCCTTAAATAAAATTGAAAATTTATTTATTTTCTCACCACAAAAATATCTTAACACTAAACTTAATAACTATTAAACAAGAATGGTTGTGGACCGCCTTGAGTAGGTAATTAAAACCTGGGAATAGTTTCAGTTATGGAAGCAGTACCTAGGTATGATTATAAGATGAGTCTTCTGAATTTTATATAACACGTTCATATTCTTTATTTGAAGTTGGTTTTAGGATAAGGAAATCATGGACTGTAGTGGAAACAACTGCAAGGTCGTTTGTTATAATCCTGGTGGTACAAAAAATACTTTTCTTACAGAAATTATTTGTAAAAGCCAAATTTGAAAAAAAAACTGACTTGCCTTCACTTTGAATAGATAACTTACATAATATTTTTGTCCTAATACTTGAAAGCGTCCCAAAACCACCAAAGAGAATATAGCCAATAATCGACTGGAGTGTTTAAAACATTCACCCGGTCAGATAACTACACGTTTTGATATTGTCCTTTCTGTCGTTCTTATTATGTATGGGAAGTAGGTAATTATTATCTTGCGATAATTTGCCCTGTCCTATGTATAGACATACATAGCGGGCCTACTAATCTGTGTTAGCCGCCTGATTGAGCATGTGCTCTCGCGCCTACTTCCATTAGTTTATTACCCCTAGAATTTTCTTTAAGAGGTTAAATTTAGTTCTCTAATAATATGTTCCATAATATTATAACAGTTATTCAAATTGCCAATAATTGTGTGCTAACAAAACACACATTTACAAAATACTGTTTCTTGTATGTATAAAAATCAACTGTCCGTTAGTCGTCTCGTTAAAACTAGATATTTTTTTTGTGTTTGAGTGGGTCCCTGGATGGTTTAGATACACAATTGGATCCGGTAGGTGGAGCTGTTGTCAGAAATCACACGTGCGAAGTCAGGGCGGATCGCTAGTTTTTAATAAAAATACTAGCAATATTAATAATAACATTCTCGTTAATAACACCAGGTAAAATTGAAATGCTTGGTGGTTTAAGACTAGTCGAATGGCGGATTCGAACCTACGACTTTTAGTAATCCCGGTCCGTACCCTACCATTAAGTTACTGTCGCTGTATTGAGTTTATGAGTCCTCCCTCTACTCTATATGAGTTATCTCAAGAAATAGGTGATGATGTCATAGAGCCCAAGCAATAGGAACCAACCAGGATTGACGCAACGATCAATCGAAAGTGATAGGTACTACTACGACACGTCGCTTAGTGACCGCGGTATCCTAAGGCGCTGCGCAAACCTAGACACTTTTATCTTGTGTGGGATATATGGTAGCTTGACCAATGAATATTGTATTTTCATGTAATCAATATGAAATCAGCCATTCTTTGCGAAGACACACAGTTTTTGTGTCAAGTTGCTTCCAATTGACACATACCGACCGCCAATCAAAGTGTTTAGTGTAGGTAACTGGAAACTAAAAGTCGTCAGTTGAGGACAGAAGCAACACAAAGCAAATTTCCTTAATTGAAGGGCGCTGACATGGAGATGATTGATTTGCCTGTAAATATTGACGGCGACTACGTCTTCGTCAACGTGTAATCAACATAACAAGAAAAGGTAATGTTCCTCCATCGACATGAAAGGTGAAACTGACGGAAAACAAGCAACAAATTGTTACCAGTGACCAGAAGTAGCAACCGGCAACTGTGTCCGATTGCGGCTACCGGACACAGCAACTACGTTTACCTGTGATGGTGAGTCGTGTCGGTAACAAAAAGTATCCACGTTTGAGCAGCGCCTCAATCATCGAGTCGTACGATAGCTGTCGTTATGTGCATACGTTTACGTCGTCAACCCATGATTACAAAGCAAATAAGCCAGATTAGACAGTTGTTCAGACTTTTGCTTTGATTTTAAAGCATCTATTGATAATAATTGATTCTGATTTTGCTCTGTCACCTTCAATGGCAAGAAGGGATTAAACTATGTCATTAAAAAGAAAACACTTTCATACTTAGTAAATTGCCATTCTATAACCATTACGAAACGGTATGTAGAGCATTTTATATTATACTTTTTTTGGTTAATACCTCAAATACCATTGGTGAGAAAAATAAATATTTCTATACCAATGTCAATATCTTAGTTGAAATAAATTTGGATTAGGTATTTCTATAGATATGTTTATCTTGCTTTATAGTTTTATCACAACACTAAGAATTTGTCATGTACTAAGTGGGGTATTCATATACATGCAATTTATGAATACAGATAAACAGCTAGTCTTCTTGAAACATATATGTAGGCTAAACAAATACTAAATTATTCTGTGTGCGATTTCAACTCTCATTTTGAAGTGTGTGTATATAAAATAAAGTAAATAAAAGGATGGTATAACAAATATTTTATTACAAGTTATCAACATCATTGGGCTCATTGATACCCATAGCGCATGCCAACATACTATTAATATGCCTACCCTCTTCTGCCTTAAACACATACCCATTAGCTTTATCAACCAAATTTTTAACACACATTAAGCTTTCTTCTTTAAACATATTTACAAGTTGAAATGACACTAAACTGTAATCTTCAATGATAGATATTAAAGCACTGTTTAGTTTTTTATATTTATTAGTAAAATTATCAGTATCCAAGCTGTCCAAAAGGTAATTTAAATCCAAAACTTCAGTGTAGAAATCAATTCCAAATTCAAGTTTGTCCATATGTTTCTTCAATAAATCAACTTTTGTTAGTAAATTAATATGAGGCAAAGCAATCTTCAACATTGCAGTAAGTGATAGCATTAAAGCGGCTATAAACTTTCCTGCATCAGAACAATGATGAGAGTCTACTAAATGGACTACACATAGCTGTAAATTACCATTTTCATTTAATTTTGAAAAAATATTCCTAATAGTATCATGATGACAGTAAAGCTCTACTTGACCAGGTAAATCAAAAACAAAATTAGTACCATGTTCACCTTTAATTTGATCTACAAGCCAATCAATATTTTCTTCTAAATATTTCATGCAATATAACAGTGCTCCATTTGGTCCAAGATTATATTGATCCATAACTTCTTCTAGTACTATTAACTTTCTAATATCAATGTCACAATCATAGCTTATCCTTTCATTAGCTGGGTCCAAGTTTATAAGAATTACTTTCCTGCCCAATTTTTTTAGCAAGTGTGACATTTTATCACAATATGTTGTCTTTCCTGCGCCGGGAGGGCCTATCACCAGTTGACCATAATATTTATTTACAGCTTTAAATCTATTTAATTGGGCTACTGCCATGTTATTACTTCTCTTGCTTGAGATCCAAAATTATGTCCTTGCAAGCCTTTACAGTTTCAATGTCATAAGATTTAAGATTTATGAATATACAAAGAGGTTTATTGATTTTGATTGCTTCCGCTAAATATCGCGCAGCTACTTGTTGTTCTTCTCCTGTGGCACCAAAAATAACTTTTGTTGTATAAATATCATCAGTACCTAGGGGACTATGGACTTGATCTTTCTGAATCATTAACATGCTTCCTATCTTTTGATATTGTGACACTATAAGCAAAATTTTGTCAGTATATTCCGCTAAAACAATTTCAGTTGGAATTTCATCAATGTCTGCTGCTATCGACTTAAAAAATTGTTGATCACCTTCATTTTGTAAATGCTTTATTGTTAAATTTTTCATACTATTTAAGAGATCCATTATTGAGCGAAATCTAAAATAACAATGGTATAATCAATACTTTTTGACAGCTCATTTGATATAGCACCTTTGTAATGAATTAAAAAAGGATTTGTTTCTTCATTCGTCATCATTAAAGCCCATCACAATTCCACTACTGAAGAACATGCAGGTACCTAATGGTGCAGGATTCAGGATACCTTGTGGCAAACTATGGGAAAAGTACATGAATTTCAATTCACTTTTGTACGTAATTTTAAGGATCTATCTTATTAGCATAACCACTTAAAACATAATGTATACGTAAATACCGCTAGCTCCGTTTTTGCGGCGGTTAAATTCGTAAAATACGTCTAAAATTAAGCGTGGCCCAGGTTGTTCTAGCAGAGAAAAAAATTAAGACAAACTATTAAAGAACTTCTGATCATTCAAATCCACGAATTTGCCTTTATTTCATATTTCAGTGGTTATAAAATATTTTATTCTCACCAAGAAACAAAATGCGTAATATTTTTATTTATTTTACACAGGTATGGTATTTAAAACAATATAGCTAGCACCAACAACGAATGGTTTATTTCGCCGGAGGAGTTCGTAATACACAGCTCAATAGTTGCAATGCATAAGCTTATAGCTTACCTTATTGATTTGTAGGGTTTTATTATTTACTCAATTTTCTATAACTTTATTTTAGGTCTAAGTCAATGCGATGCGTCCACAGAATCATAGATTAGGGATGTGCAAAATAATCGATTTTCATATTAATCGATTATTTTTTCTTAAAATCGATTTTTCAAAGTCGATTTTTTTTTATAATAAAAATCGATTTTTAATAAATCGATTTTTATGTAAATTACGCGTTTCAATCGATTTTTGTAATCAGAGTCATCTGTGCGATGGATGTAAAAACGTGAAGTAAGTTCAATAACATGAATAAGTCAATCAAAAGACGGCGCCACCTTTATGTATCTCTATCTATGTAAAACAGTTTCGATTTTCGTATGTTTTCAACAGGTTTCTTCCTCCGCTAGGAGTAAAAGTATTCTGTGGTTTTCTTTCTTTCTTTGGTTAGTGTAAACAATTATATATAAACAATAAAAATGACTTGTGAAACGCGTAAAAGTGACTGACAGAAGTATTTTATAGTGAAAAAATGATAGCGGCCAACACGTCAATAGGCAAAAAGACTGAATTGGATCTATATATTGCGGCACCATTATCAAATCTCAAGGCAGATGCCCTCAATATATGGAGAAGCTCTGAAGGAACTTTCCCTAAACTAACCAAATTGGCTTTTAAACACCTCTCAGTGATGGCCAGTTCCGCGCCAGCCGAAAGATTATTTTTGAAAGCGGGAAATATTGTCAGGAAAAAACGAAAACGTATTTTGGGAAAGAAACGAAGAAGAATTTTGGTGAAATGATTGTTTTTAAAGCCTTTAACTGAAAATTCATGGCAATATTTTTTGTACCTTTTTTTGTTTACACAAGTTTAAAAAAAGATTTATCTTGTATTTTAGTTTTCAGATCAAAAGGTTGTCGTCGGATTATTTATAATTATATTTTTATTTTATTTTCATTCTAATCCAATGTAAATGATACTGAACATTAGTGGCATAATGATATTTAGACTTTTTGTTTGTTCAAACTTAGTTTAAAAAAACTATCGGTTACTAAAATTATGGTTTCTTAATGATTTCTTATATTTACGCGAAGACTACACATTAAATGAAATTAATTTTTACGGATTTGATCACGCTTAATTTAACTTTTTAATTCCTGACCTTTCGGGTGCTTCACAGCACCCATGGTCACGGGGAAACTGAGGTCTTTGACGTCCAGATGTAATAGTTAGCCTGGCTAAATTCAGTGTTTGAATATTAATTTTTGTTCGATCTACGCAGAATGAGCTTGCAGTATCTTGAAGTCTTACAGTGGTATGCTTGGGTTTGGATTTAATTTTATTAATTATAGGATGCCAAGCAGATGGCAGCATCCATCCATCTTCTCTATTGAAATTAGGATGTTTTTTAATTTCGATAGCCTCGCGAATCATCCTTGGTAGGAATCGGTGTTCTTTTGCGAGGATTTGTGATTCAACTATGACATAGGGACGTCAAATACCTCAGTCCCCTCTGTGACCATGCGTGCTGTAAAGCACCTGAAATGTCGGGAATTAAAAAGTTAAATTAAACGCGATAAAATCCGTAAAACTTAGTTTAATTTATCGTTTCTGTTTATTTTGGTTGTAATAAATTGTTAAATGGCACTGAACATTTGTGGCAGTAATTATATTTAGTTTTTTATTGTTCGAAGTTATATGTTAAAAAAATTGTTCTGTAGTTTGTTTCTAAAACCAGAAGATTATTTTTCGAATAATTTTTTTTTCGCAAAAATCGATTATTTTTCTATAAAAAAAATCGATTTTTCTTAAATCGATTATTATCACAAAGCAAAAAATCGATTTTCTATTAATCGATTTTTTTCATTCAATGTCACATCCGTATCATAGATACACAGAACACTAATACCCTTAGCATAGATATATAATTAATTATCAAAGAGTATAGTTAGGCCCGCCATATACATACGGAATTCCGTTTCGAGATTCCGTTTCGGAATTCCGAACGGTCGGCCACACACGAACGGAATCCCGTTTTGGCCGCAAAATATCGAACAGAAAACTACCGTACGTGTGTGGCGGGTCATAGATTTTATATGGACTTGCTGCGTTCGGGATTCCGAATCGGAATATCGAAACGGAATCTCGAAACGGAATTCCGTATGTATGTGGCCGGCCTAAATTGTCCTATACAGGAAAAGAGAGCCCACTCGTGCGAAATCTGTCAACCGAGGAGTACTAGCGCCGTCTGGTGTCGTTTCGCCACAATATTGTGAGAATGTGTGCGTGCACATGCACCTCTACATTTACACCTCTGTTCATGGTAATTCATTAGGTATATGTACTAGGATTAATTATCAACAACCAACTGTGAATTAAACATTTGAAACATTTTTTAAAGATAACTGCATAATAACTAAATGCTTCAAAAGTTTAATTTAACAGTCGGTTGTCAATAATTAATCCTAATACATAAAGTGTGATTCATAATTTGTAAATAGGAATTAAATATGATATTTTTTAACATGAATGAAATTAAACACAAATAATTGGTACATTATTCTATATTTTTTGAACTTAATGAAAATAAAGATTTAACATAGTTTTGACAATACAACACATAAAATTAATATTTTTATTCTAATGTTTATATCATTAATAGATTAATAACACAGCTAGTGTCTATACAAAAATAGTAAATTTTATTATTTTAATAAATGAATGAGTTTATTATAATAAATGAATCATAACAAACTTTAACATTACAAAATGTTAAGCTAATACCATAACGGTAAACTTAAACGACTATGAATCAATCCAAAGCTGTAACCACGCTTGGCAAGTGGGGTGGCAACTGCAGTTATTAGGAAGATCAGTCCACCTGCTGATGTGTTTCCCTGTGTCACCTCTTACGATGACACCCACGGGATGATAATATGGGGTTGTGGATATTCTGAGACCGTCACTACACGGTAATCTAATATTTTTTTACAATAAATGATTCGTAAACACAGCTTTATTATAACAAAATATTAAACTAATGTCTTCAATAAATTTTCACAAACAAAATACGAAAATAATATTTTTTACAATAAATAATTCATAAACACAGCTCTGATATAACAAAATATTAAACTGAAAAAATATTAATTGCCTTGGCATATGGTCTGACACAACTGGTTACTTTGCCTACGCGGATTCCAGATGTGGAGGATTATACACCTTTCTTGTTGGACCTTCTGCTGACCTCTCATCCGGACGGATATTAGGTTTCCGTCGACCCCTCTCGGCTCTTCACACCGATGATTGGCGGTCCACCACTGTGCGATTTAGAAGATGTTTTCTTCCTCGCACAACTTCCTTGTGGAATCGATTACCACCAGCGATTTTTCGAAACCGATATGACTTAGGGATCTTCAAGAAAACAGCCTACTCCTTTTTAAAAAGCCGGCAACGCATCTGCAATTCCCCTGGTGTTGCGGTTGTTCATGGGCGGCGATAGTCACTTACCATCAGGTGAGCCGCATGCTTGTTTGCCCCCTCTCCTATTATAAAAATAACTAATGTCTCTAATTTTTTTACAAGACAAAATAAGAAATAACATTTTTACAATAAATGATTCATAAATACAACTTTGATAGTACAAAATAAGAAATATTTTTTATAATAACCCCTTTATAATGCCCCTTCTATTGTATATATAAAATGGCCGTTTATAAAATATAACTATATTAAAATGAATAATATACGTGATCAGATAATCAATATATTGATCTTTCTAAAGGTCTAGATATAGGCCGTTATTCATTATTAATTAATACCTTCCCGCTTGGAAAAGGCTTACAATATTTATATTAAAATACCCGATACAAGGACTTCGCTCACTCATATTTTAAAAAAATGTGGGGGAGGCACACGGCTTCACACACGGCAACACAAACAACCAACGCGTTCCGCCCGAAGAGGAACTAGAGGTTGGGACTAGACCGTAGTCCACAGCAAAATAACTGGCGAAAAGATAAAAAGAGGGCTTGGCCCCTTGTTATTCATAACAGCTTTGACAATAGAAAATATGAAATAATATTTGTTTAATTAAATAAGTGATTCATCAGAACACAGCTTCGACAATCGCCTCATAGGAGAGATATTTACCATAGTTGCAACGCTTGGCAAGCGGCTTGCCAAGCGCAGCTTTTAAATTTAGTCGTTATTAGGAAGGAACTGCTGTCCATCTTCTGATTTTTTTCCCTCTGTCGCCTTTTAAGAAACCCACGGCATAATATGGACTGGTGGATATTCTTACTGCGCCACACACAAACTAACATTTTTACAATAAATGATTCTTAACAGCTTTCACAATACAAACTATGAAAATATTTTTTATGAGATTCGATTCTTAACAGCTATAACAAAACAAACTACAAAAATAATATTTTTTACAATACATGATTCTAAACAGCTATAACAAAACGTTCGCTGCAAATGTCATCTTTTTGGTGATCTTCTCAAATGCTACTTGATTACTCATTTATTCTGCATTTGATAGACGAGTCCTAAAATCTTTTATAGTTTTTCTAGACTTCTTTATTTGAAACTTAAGTCTTCCCGCAACATACATCATATTTTAAATTAACGCTAAATGTAACACTTAAGTAACAATAAATATTTTTAATTACATGGTAGATCTATGCTCTAACTATATAACAGCAAGAATGAGTCGGCTCGACCGGGGTAGGACATCGTTCTAACAGAATACCAATGTAAAATAGCAGCTTAATACTGCTGTGTTTTTTCATATGGTGAATGTGGGAAACCGGGGACCCTTTATTGGAAACGAGACATTCCATCTCAGTCCTCAGGTGTGACAACGCATCTGATTTTTTTTAAAATTGAGGATAAAAATGTAAATGCCCACTTATCCATCACTCGTTTGTCAACCTTATTCTATATAAAAAATAAAAATAAAAGAATTAGAAAAAAGTTATTAGGGAATATTTTGATTGTGATAATTAAACTATTAATAACTTAATATGTACCTACATCTTAAAGCTAGGCTAATAATGCTTCATGAAGATTGCTATATAGCTAGTTT